GGAAGTAGGATTGCCCAACCTTCCTTCCGAGGAGTGGCTGGTGGGTTTGAACCGCCAGCCTTCTGGTTAGCAGTCAAGTGCCTTAGGCCCTATGCTACCAGAGCTCCCTTACTTACTTACTTACTCTCTTAAAACATAGTAAACCAAAACCAAACTCACTACCATCAAGTCAGTCCTGACTCTGAGGCAGTTTCTCCATGGAAGTAGATTGCCCAATCTTGGGTTTGAACCGCCAACCTTCTGTTTAGCAGTCAAATGCCATAGGCACTGCACCACCAGAGCTCCCCAACAAACTGATGTTACTTACCTGCTCAAACTCCTCCATGCCTCCCTGTGACCTACACAATGAAGTCCAAATTTCCTTTATTTGGCATACAAGGTCTGGTACAACTTGGATCTTGCCACCTCCTACAGCTTAGTATTCTTTCAAATTGTGTGTTCCAGACATTCTGAACTGCTACATGCCCCCTAGACATGCCACACTGCTTCATGCCTTTGTTCATGCTTTCCTCTGCCTGGCACATACTCTTCACCTTTCTTTAACTATTTTATACATATTTATTCTTCAAGATAACTTACAGATAACAGCCTCCAAAAACTTTTCTCTAAGCCTCAGCCTGAATTAGAGATCCTTCTTTGGGTTTCTGTAGCATCCTGTGCACACTTCCATCTCAGCAGTTCCAAATTATATTAAAATCATCTGTTTATAAGTCTGTCTGCCCCCACCCCCATTAAGCCATGTTTCTTTGGGGCAGAGGCTATGTTTTATCATGTCTGTGTATCTAACACCTACTTCAGTACCTGGAATACAGTAGGCACTTATCAATCTTCCTGGCACTGTAACAGGTAGTAGTGAACTTCAGAGGTTTTATTTCTGCCACCCAGGGGCTCACACCCATCATACAAAAGAGGATGTGAAAAATGACAGGCACAAAGGCACTGTGAATAATCAAATGAGTCACAGTGGGTCAGAGTCTAGCCAAATTTACCCAGAAGTTGCTTACCACCATGCTCATCTTTGAGCAGGAAGGAGTATGGAATTTTTCTCTATTAAAAATACTTTTAAGACATAAACTAAAGGCAAGTTGACAGAAGGACAAAACGAATGGTCAGAGTGATCTACAAACTAAATAGACCACTTGCTTTTTGAGAGTTTTCATATGCACTCTGCAGTATAATTGGAAAATCTTTTCAAGCTTGTGTTATCCTGAATCTGAAATGTGATCAGAGTTCATTTTGTAAATAACGGGAGTGGTGGTAGAATCACTTCCTTCCTATTACTGCTCCCAACTCTGTTTTGTAATTTACGCACATTAACAAACTTATTTTGTGCTATTGGCCCGGCATGGTGTTAAATATTCTACAAGAATTATCTCTTCAACCGTCATAGCAAGCCTATGAGTAAGTACTATTAGTAGCTTATTAGCTCCATTTTATAGGCAAGGAAATCAAAACTTGAAGAAGTCAATTAACTTGCCCAATGTCGAGTCTCTAGAGGGCAGTAAAAGCAGGATTAGAACTCAGGCGGGCTGATTCCAGGGCTCATAGTATAGATGAGTGCACCATACTTCCTGTAAATGGTGAAATGCAATAAATACTCATTACAATTGGTCCATATAAATTGTTCTTGATCTCAGGTAAGTGACCACGTATACAGTTGAGTAAGTCAAATTGTCAGTTGTTTTTATTAGGGATACTTTGGGACTTATAACTCAAAACTCACTGCTGTTGAGTTGAATCCGACTCATAGCGACCCCTCCTTCGGTTTTCGAGGCAGTATCACTATGGAAGTAGATTGCCCAACCTTCTTTCTGAGGAGCAGCTGGAGGGTTTGAACCGCCAGCCTTCTGGTTAGCAGTCAAATGCCTTAGGCACTATGCCACCAGAAGACCCGTGGAAGTGCTGTATTCATTTCTGTTGTAAGCCTTCTAATAGTAGAGAACTTTGGACTATTTTAAGGATGTTGGCAAAACAAATTATCTATATAATGTCTCTCCTTTGCAATTAAATTAAGTCTTTTTATTAAATTCTTTTAATATACATTTTTTTATGCTTGGCTATTTTAAGCAGCATATGATTTTTCCAACAACAAGAACCTTCACATGGAAAGAATTTTCAAAAGCACTACCTAAGGAGGAACGTGCTTTTTCAAATTTTCCTTTACTATGCTCCTTTTATACTCCAGAAACCGTTGCTCCTTTAAGCTGACTTCCTTTCTAGAAATTATTTTTGTTTCCAACCATATTGAGAATTATTTTTTCATTCCTTCACTCTAACCAGATGTCTCTCTCTCTCTCTTTCTTCCCCGGCACCCCTCTACCACCGCCGTGTGTGTGTGTGTGTGTGTGTGTGTGTGTGTGTGTGTGTGTGGTAGCAGCAGAAAAAGGGTGTGTGGGCACAGGAAAGAGGGAGGAGGGAAAAGCAGAAAAAGAATTGTATGCCACTTTGTCTGAATATATCTTCTACTTGTGGATAATTACATCCAAGTTGCACTTTTGCCTTTTTATTTCCGTTTTTGGACACCTCTCTCTCACCCAGCCAACTGGGATAGACAAAGCACTATTGGTGCCCTAAGCGACAGAACTCTGGTAGGGGGCTGGCTGTAAATTGACGTGGCATGGAAATTCTCTGCTAAATTGTAGCAGCTTGCTTGTTTCTCTAAAATCAAGCCCAGTCTGCGGGAGCTGTCTAATCATGGGTTCAACCACTTTACAGAAAAATGGATAGAAAAAGTCTTCAGCTCCTTTTTTTGGATTCAAAAGTTTTCTCTTTGGATGTTTATAGTTTAGCTGAGAACAAAATCAAAACAGTTAAGTCTGTAACTTTCTTTTTGCTGCTTGAACAACAGAATTTGCTGCTCTCCCTGCTCTTTCCTGCAGTTTAATTCCTCCCAGATTTTGCCATGGGGTGCGGACTTAGAAAGCTAGAAGACCCTGATGATAGCAGCCCTGGAAAAATATTTTCTACCCTGAAGAGACCGCAAGTGGAAACAAAGACAGAATTTGCTTACGAATATGTATTGCTGGATTTTACTTTACAAGGTACTTCTTTGCTTTTATTTGTTAAGGGAAATGTTTCAAAGATAGGAGACTACCGGTATTTTATTTTTATTGTTGGCTTGTGGATTTTAATGCTTTTCTTCATAATCAGATTGTATAATTAGTCTAACAGTGCTTTGTTCCTTAATTATGTCTTGAAAGATTTGTTTGTTTTGATTTGTTTGCTTTGTTTTTTGTAACATGGCTCCCAGTGCTCCGTAAAATTAGAATGAATGCTGGAAAATGTTTCTTGCATTTCTAAATCAAAGACTTATGGAAGGATACGTGAAAAATGTTCAATTTCTAAGCCAAATAGTTATAGCCTTAATGATAGTCTGTTTTGAAAAAGATCTAAAAGGCACAAGAAGTTAGCTCATAGGAAATATGACTTGTATCGTGTGCAAGATTATTCGCTAAGACAATTTGAGGTTTCCAGGTATGCTAATTTGTGTGAGTGTGCTAATCATTTGATATTTTTGTCCAAACTAAATTTGAAGCTTGAAAGTAGAGTTAAGAGGAGGGGAGAAAGGTAGTCTGCTATAAGGCACTTCCTTTGCTCAGTGCCCTGTCACCAACAGAGAAGCTCCCTGTTCCAGAAAGTTGGAAATACAAATAAACAAGCCCAGAAGGCAGCTAGCTCTGAGGAGGAGCAGGGGCAGCAGGGCAGCTCAACTTCACAAACACTCTGCCTCCCTTCTCTGGAAACTTTGCAACACTGTGCAATTGCAGTGGATGAAACTTACCTTTTAAAAAGCAGAGCTACATCTTTAATTAGGAAGTGCTGAAAATGAACATTTTCGTTAGAATTTCTAGATGTTAGAAATTTTAGTTCTGAGTTATACTTTTAATTCCAATAAGCTACGAATTTTGTCAGTGTGTAGAAATATTTACTAACTAAATAATCATGTTAGATAATATCTTCATTTTTTTTTCAACTTACACACAAATTCCCCATTTTTGTTGTTGTTGCTTCGCTCTGGGAACAGTGCATCTTTGTGCAAGAGGCAAGAGCAGCCCATTTTTCTTTGTCGAGAACTGAGCTGGCCAGTAAACAAACTCTCGCAGGAACACATGAAAATCATTTATATAAACCGCTGAGATATTCACATTTCCATTTTTATCTATGGCTACCAAAGGAAAAAATGTCAGTGTTTTTAATTTTCCTTTCATTTGTGAAAGTTAAAAATAGATTAGGATAATGGTGATACTCAGTGAAGTAGTCAAAGAAGCATATAGGTCTTTTCTCTACTTTTCCCAAAACCATCAGTGGAGAAAATACTTGTGATCTGGTGCTACATCTGCCCCGTTGGTTTTCCTTGTGGATTGTTTTGTAGGGACAGGTTTCTGTAAACCAACAGGACACAAACACACTCTTCTTAACCTGAAGAAATTGGGTCTCTTCAAAACATTTTAGGTCAGATCTATTTTGATTTGCACTTTTTAAAATTTGCTGTTTATCTTCATAATCCACCATAGGATCCTAGGGCATAAAGTAACTTGAAAGGTTTTCTCATCCATTTCCTTCCAACGCTGTTAACAATCTCGAATTTGTGTAAATGTAGCCATCCTTGAGTCAGCAAAATCTACATACAGCTTTAGTCAGAAGCCATTCCGGTTTTGTCATTATCCAAAGCCTGTCTCTGTGTGAAAGGAGTATAATTTCTACCTTCCTGTAGGTGTTTGGGGGAGTTAATAGAGTGCTTAATGGGAAAATGCTGCTTGTCGTTTAAGTACGGTTATAGTATGCAAATGTTGGACACAAAGCAGACATATGTTTTAAAGCTGCACCTGGTTCCTATTTGGTCCGGGTGTCTCATCTCTTGGTGCCCCATTCCCCTCCACCTCTTCCACATGTTTTGTTTTCTCCTATTGCCTTTGCCTCAAAAGCCAGGATGTTCCCCACCATCCCAGCCCCACAAACCACTTTCCGGTCATTTTCTATTTTCTATTTTCGCTGCCCTCCACCTGCCACTCCAAGGATACAGGAGGAGTCAGTGGGGTTAAAAAATGCCAGCCTTCTCTGTGGCACCAGTTGCTCTGTCCTGGAATTGCTGTAAGGAGCACTGAACAGTGACACCTCCTGCCTCTTACAGGCTACCATGCAAGTAGCAAGCTTTCAGCAAACAAAATGGCCTGGTTACAGCTGTGTATGCTCACAATGAGTATGCTTTTTCCTGGTTTTGCCTCAGTTTTTCCAAACAGAGGCCCAGGAGCAGGGCTGGGTGTGAAGGGAGGGCAAAAAGTGGAGACCCTTTCAAACTCCCAGTACCATGTATTTATTTTTTCCATTCAGTTCCATTTTCTACTCTCTTCCTCTTTCTGTCTTTGCCTCTGCCATCATTTTAGATACATTTCAGATGTTATATAAAGTTTCTGTGACAATTCGCTTACTTTAAAACCAAAAAAAAAAAACCAACAACCCACCAGTTGCTAGAGAGTCAACTTTGACTCGCAGCCCCATGTGTGTTCTGGTAGATGTATGCTCTGTAGGCTTCTCAAGGGCTGGTTTCTCAGCAGTAGATCACCAAGCCTTTCTTCCAAGGCACCTCTGGGTGGACAGCCAAGTGCATTAACCGTTTATACCACCCAAGGACTCCATACTTACTTTAGGGAAATGAAATGCTATTTTTATTTCACTGGAGAGTGTTTTAAAGTTACCCCTCTTTATTACAGCAAACCCCCTCCGGGGGGGAGGAACTCTGGTGGCATAGTGCCTGAAGCATTTTTGACTGCTGACCAGAAGGCTGGAGGTTCAAACCCACCAGCCACTCCTCGGTAGGAAGACTGGGAAATCTACTTCCACAGAGATAGAGATACCCCCTGGGAAACCCAAGAAGGGTCTCTATAAGTCAGAGTCAACTCCACGGCAGTCAGTTTGGTTTTTGAGCTCTTTCTCCCTGTCTCCCTTCCCATACTTTTTTGTTTCTTTCTTTTTTGCCTTTGAGCCTTTACTTACATCTCTATGGGAGAAATAATAGCATAATCGTTAGCTAAGCAAGATTCTGGAATAAAAGTTGCTGTGTTCTGAATCTAGGCTCTTCCACTCACTAACTGTGGCAAGTTAGTAAACTTTGCTATCTTTCCATTTCTCCATCTGTAAAATGGGAGATTCTAAAGGCACTTTCCTCATACAGTTGTTTTAAGGATTAAATAAAATAACATAAAATAACCTATTTGGAAAAGTACCTTAGCACTAAGTAAACAATAACAGTTAACTGTTATTATCGCTAAGGAACCTGGTGACCCCCTCCGCTAACTGAAAGGTTGACGGTTCAAACTCACCAGTGGCTCCACGGGAGAATGATGAGGCAGTCTGCTTCTGTCAAGATTTACAGTCTTTAAAAACCTACAGGACAGTCTACCCTGTCCTACTCTGTGAGTCAGAATTGCAGTGGGTTGGGTTTGGTTTATTATTCTCTCTCCTGTGACAACACTTTCTGATTCACATCTGACACACTGGCCTCTTTCCTCCTTCAAAACCTACCCCTTCATGAAACCTTTTGGACCAACTTGTTGAGGTCATTAAAATATTTCCTCCATTTCCCTTCTGTGGTAATAATTGATTTATTTATGTCCAATTCAAGGTTCATGCACATTCTCCTGGCCATAACATTATTCATTTGCACAGTTGTAACTCAACAAAAGTTGTTTGAGTATTTCCTGTGTGCAGTGCTCTGCTAGGTGTTTTAAGGAATACAAAAGAAATCTGAAACGTAACCCTTGCTTACCCTCAAGAAGCTTAGATTCTTGTCACTGTAGTCTAAAATTTCCTGAAGCTTTATGTCAGATCTACTAACTGCACTTAGGAGGTTTCATTACAATTTTTGCATAAGTTTTCTGGGTTATTGTATAATAATGGTTTCTTTTTATCATCTAGGGAGCTCTGGTGGCGTAGCGCCTAAGGCATTTGAATGCTAACCAGAAGCCTGGTGGTTCAAAT